TATATATATCCTAGCTTTATTACTTATGTTTATTTGGCAATTGCTTAATTCCTTTATGCTTCAGAGATGGGAATTACTATATCTATTTATAGGGCTGTGGAGAGTAAATAAGATAATTCAGGTAAAATGCTTAGTATAGTGGCGCTTGGGAAGAGTTAGCTATTATCAGCATTATTGGGGGCTTTGGTAAGATGACCAGCATGTCCCTGATTACTGGCAGTTGTGGGATACTGGTGTTGTCAAAGAAGCAGTGCAGCATGGGATTGTGACTATACCAGCCCAGACAATCGACACCTCTAAGCCCACAGATGTTTTGGCTGACTTGGAAAAACACAATTTTGTGTCCTTTCAAACAGAGAATTATTTTGATTTAATTGCAAATCCACCGTTATGGCCAAAGGAAAACTATCTATAATAATTTTATCTTCACATGCTAGCCAGGCATTTATTATACTGAAAGCTGTGTCTTTGGGGAAGTCAGTAAAGACTGGATCATTTCATAGGTAATAATGGCCTCAATTAAAGAAGAAAATGCCCAATTAAGCAAACTCATTATTGCCTCCTATTCAAGCTGAATGGCTGCCCTGAGACGAATCTAAGCAGAACTTTATTCATATTTCTCATCAAGTGCCTAGAATGATTGATTATCAGTTTAATTTTGCCTATATTATTCTCAAGATGAGAGTTTAGGATGGGATTTTAATGATTACTTTGTTTTTAACATGTTTTTCTTTCTCTCTTCATCAACCCTGTGTTTGGCTTTCGACATGAGCAGACCGGTGTCTGCAGGGGGCCCTGCCAACTCTAGCTGCTCACGAGGTCTGATGATTTGTAGCCTTGCGCAAAGGCTGCCTGAGAGTGAACACTGTCTTGGAATATGTATGGACAGGCTGAAAGCAGCCAGTTGTTCCTTTTCTGAGAAAGGGGAGTACTGGCTGTTCTGTCTTCTGATTCACTGAAGACTGTTTGGAAATCAGAGCACTGCTGCCAGAGCCTTTAAGACAACAGCTTAGTGGAATTCAGATGAAGTCATACGTAGAGTCTAAGCCACTCCAGTCATGAGTAGTTTTAATGAACTTACAATGGCTCTCTTTGGGAGATCTTGAGGTCAACAGCTAGAGCCACCCTGACTTCTGCAAAAGTAGTTAAATAAGTTATTGACTTCATTGCCTTTGGCACACATTTCTGCCTTTTAGCGTTATGTTTACTAGAGCTCAGTAAATTTCATTTGGAAGTACCTGTCACCTAAAATTTAGTAAGGTCCCTGGACATAAGCTTTCAGTACTAACATGGTTCAGATCTTCATCTTAGTGAGGGGCCTGTGCTTTGTAGACCTAATTATAGCGTCCCTAGCCATGTGACTTCCCTAGGGAAAGATTCAGAGAGTGACAACTGCAGCTCTTCAGTCAATGAGCTTTCCTCTCTTCTGCAGATCCCAGGCTGCTATCCTCCTGGACAGGTTTTTAGGGTGTTTCGCTTTCCTCCCCTGGCTAAAGGGTATGAGTCATACTTTGAGCAGCATTGTGACATTTCAGGTGCGTGTCAGAGCATTGAAATATAAATTGTCAGAGCATTGAACTATAAATTGTCAGGGATCCACTCCTTGCCAAAACTTCCTTGAGATATAATTGAGAGAAATAGTCTAGGAAACATATAAAATATAAATTCTTGCTTTTGCAAGGTTTATTCCTGAATGATTAGATCATCAGAACTCTGAACTATGTGGTGTTTCGTAATCAATATAGTGGAGTTCTGGCTTATGCCCTTTTATATATTTTTTATTTATTTTTTTTCAAAATTTTATTGATAAACAGCAATGAGACAGTTTCAAATCAAATTGGAAGTACAGTTTCAACAAATAACACACTGCATATATTCTTCTTAGTGATTAATTGCTGTACAAGATGCGGACTTGAGATCCTATTTACAAACACCATTAGAACAAATCATTCTATTCATTAAGAGAATGCAACTATATATCTATCCTAACCACTTTGAATACACAGATACAAAATGGACATTCATCTGTATACCCTATTTTTTCTAAGTTCCGTTATTGAATATTATAGGTGTGTAAACTCAGCAAAATATTCTAAAAGAGTCCAGTAGCCCATAATAGCATTGGGTCTTCTGTTTAACTGGCAATGTCAGAAATTATTGACCTGAGTCCCCCACAGCTCAACTTAACAGCATGACTTTACTTCCTATATTTCGTCTTCATACTTTTCTACTGGATGGTTAAGACCAAGGTAAAGCAGGACCTATGCAACAAGAGTTGTAGCTTTTTGGTCTGAGAAGGTCAGTGAAATCCCCTCAGGATTTATCCTGAGATCCTGTACCTCAGATTGTAGAACCTTTGTCAGTGCAGCCATGTGGATGAGTCACGGCCATTGCTTGCTTATGCCCTTTTATAGAAGACAATTTTAAGATACTTACATAGTATTCCTGTGCTTTTGCTCCCCTGGGACTACAGACATTGATCTTTGTTACTCTGTATCCTTTTTGAGAGGATTCATGTGTAAAATCCATTTATGGATTCAGCCTCCATAGCTAGGAAATAATTCCTATTCATATGAATTTCTATGTCTCCCATTTATCAGACCATGAGAAATATGCCAAAGTATAATTCTTTTTTTACATTTTCCTGATGGCAAGATGAGCATTAGATTTAGAGCTCAGGAAGGGACCTAATAAAGATTATTTTTCTGATCCTTTTCTATTTATTTTTATATTATAACAGAAGTAGTAATTTTATTCTTTTTGGAAGTAGATGCAATATAAATTATATATACATATGTCTCCTTACTATCTGTGTCATTCTGATTTTAATGTTTTCAGTGTTATATCTTAGAGGACCTATTACTCACATTTTCCTCCAGATTTGGGTACTATGTGAGATCTGTACTTAAAAAAAAAAAAATCTTCCATCAGGGGCTGGGGAGATAGCTCAGTGGTCTAAGTGCCTGCCTGGCAAGCACAAGGACATGGGTTCAATCCTGTGTACCCCATGTCATGTGCACCAGGCTGGCCACTGAAACCGGGCATGGTGGTGCACGCCTGTAATCCCAGTGCAGGGGAGGCTGAGACAGGAGGATCACTATGAGTCTGAGCTGTGTAGTGAGACCCTGCACCAAGTGAATAAATAAATAAAAGATTTTTTAAAAAGAAGAAAAATACCCATCAGACCAAAGAGAAGTTTTTCTTTTAACGTTGGTTGATCCCAGGGCTTCAACCACACCATGAAGACTGCAGCTGTCCTGCCGTCCCTCTACCCTGCCCTCCTTTTGCTGACTCCCTCCAGCACATCCTGCCCAGGAGGCAGGCAGGTAGCCCAGCACACTCCCCCATCTCTTTTTGTCGGGCTTGACCTCCCTGTTCCTCCTTCCAGTTCCACATCTGCTGGATCTGTGGCGCATCCTGAGACCGGTGGAGGAGGATGGAAGCCGGCCCGTGCGCTTGCTGTGGAAGGTGACCTTCCTTTGTGTTATTTACTTATCCCTTTTTAAAAAATTATTTGTCTCTTATCTCTAAATACTGTGATTCTTGAACCTTAACCTCTGGAATTTCCTTCCCCAGAGGGCTTTATGATGCTGTTATCTTACTATGGCTCCCAGTTGAAAAGCCCCAAAGACCACCTTATAGAGGGTTAAATGCACAGAGACCCTGGGGCCCCTTTTTTGTTATAAACAATATTTGGGGGGCAGTTACAAGGTGTAAATGCAAGCAGCCTCGTGGCCTCTGGGAGGAAGCCGCTCCTCACTGGCCTCCCTGGAATGCGAGGTAAGACTGAGCACAGACTGTGTCCTTGGGCCCTCACCAGCACATCATGATCACTGTGAACATGTGTCCCTTTGAGTAGTGACATGGTGAGGCACACAGGTGGGAGAGGAGACAGGTGGTCTGTCTAGTGAGAAACACTGGGAGTGGAGAACAAGGAGAAGACAGGTAAGCAATACAGGAAAGAGGAGAACAAAAGAGGCGGTAAGAGAAGGAAGCGAGAAAGGAACAGAAAAAAGAAGGGAAACAATTTAACAGTAAAAGAAGAGGACAAATACAGAAAAAAAATATGGGAAATGGGAGGTAAAAGATGGGCAGTTGAGGGTAAGCGGAAAAGGGAGAGGAGTGAGATGTCAAAACTCTGTAACAGATCCCCAGAACGCTCGGGAAACACTCTGGACTTATCTCGTGCTTGCTAAAGTTCAGATGAGTTAAAATCTCTTTAAAAATGAAGGCCTTAGGGCTGGGGAGATGGCTCAGTGGAATAAGTGCTTCCCTGGCAAGCGCAAGGGCCTGAGTTCAATCCCCGGTTCCAAAAAAAAAAAAAAAAGGAAGGCCTTATAATTCCCGAGAAAGCTCAGCATGCTGGCTCCTATATGAAATATCTGGTGAGTAGCTGCAAGCTCAAAGCTGAAAAGGAGAACTTGGATGGGAGCCCCGGGATTCCACTCTAGGCTTCCCACCAAGCCTCGCGGACTGCTAGAGCAGCCTGAATGTTTTGGTCCTCTCAGCTGGAGGCCTGGCGGCACCCTGGCCCAGAGGCGTGGGTGCTCTCCTTAGACGGGGAGGCGCAGACATAAAAGACAGGGCCTGGGCACTCTCCCTGGAGTTTTTGGAAGCCCGCAAGCACGCGAAGAGCAAGCATTAGATCAGAATTCAGGTTGGCTCAGAGGAAATCCCTCGGCTCTTTAGCTTTCCTCTTCTACCCAAGTAGGCAAGAGTGAAAGATACAGCCAGAAGAAATGGCTGTGGCTCATGTACGCTGGCTTAGGGACTCTCTTAGTTTATGAAATTGAGCTTACATTAAGGATCGATACCAAGATACCATTTAGCATCCCCCATCTGGCACAGCATGAGTATCTTACTGATTCCTGGAGGATAAATATGTGATTGCAGCCCAGCGCCTAATAGCTAACATTAGGCCCACTCTAACTCTTCACGCCTACTGTGCCTACCTCTTATTACTGTCTGAACGCCTTTTATTTTTCTGTTGTAAATAAATTTTGTTTCCTTTGGATTCAGAAGGCAAAAGGAGCCCCAGCCCTGGAGAAAACACTTGGCTACAACATACAGTACTTTCCAGAAAACACCACAAATGTCACAGAGATGAGGACCACTGAACAGACACTTGATCTGTGTCTTGGAGGCGAGACCTACAACGTGTCTGTGACTTCTTATAATTCCCTTGGGAACTCTATGGCAGCTACCCTGAGGATTCCAGACATTCATGAGAAGCGTAAGTGGAACATAAGCTTCTTGCCTGGATGCCTGGTCCCATCCCATTCAGCAAAAAGTGGTCTCTGCCCTCCTAAGGATAACTGTTTCTCTTAAGTCCAGTTGAGAAGAAAGCAAAGGCTTTTTAGGTTGTGGTGGGAAAACACAATCTGCCGGAACCTAGTGCACCTTTGACATGAAGTCCCTTTAGAACGTGACTTGTAGTACATATTAGGTACTTTATGTATTCTTAGGGTACAAAATCATATACATTTGTTCCAGTTCAGGTGGATGAAAGCTAAATCAAGCTACATAAAAAGAGTCATATTTGAAACCTTGTAGATGGGATCAACTATGTCCCCAGACGTGGCTTGATACTTGTTATGGTTTGTGTCTAGTTGTCCCCCAAAACCTCACAGAGTCGCTAGGGCAGGCTTCTAGAGTTTGTGATTAATTTATGATCCAATACCGGGATTATGGGAGTGAGTGCTGCTGGGATTGTGGGTGTGACTGTTACACTGGCCCTGGGGCTGATAGCCTGGATGCAATATAAGGAAGGGAGAGACTTACTCTCTCTACTGGGCTGCAGATGCTGTGCCTGCCTTATTTTTTCAGGTGGCAAAACCAGGCTTTATTTTGGAAAAAACAATTGAATTGGGTTTTGGTGAAGGGCACAGGCAAGAAGGGGTACCCCAGGCAGTAATGTCCCCCCAAGGGTGGGCTGAGGGCTAAGCTGAGCCTCAGCTGGGTCTCTCGCTCCCAGTGCTTCCTTGTACAGCTGTCTCCCCACGGGCTCTGGGCAGCCGTGGGAGAGGTGCGGGCTGGAGAAGCTGCTGTGGCCCATTCACTTGGGCGGGACATCAAAGCTCTCAGACACTAGCTTCCCATTGTGGGTCTCAATCTTCTTCACAACCACAGCAGGCTTGGTGCGGGTGAAGCCAGGGCTTTGGAGGTTCCCAAAGCCAGGGCTGGTGAGGCCCCCATAGGGTAAGTTCACCATTCCTGCATAGCCACTGGTGGTCTTCCTGTGGATGCTCAAGTTCCGCATCCCAGCCTCCAGCCTGTTCTCCTTGCCCTCCAGCAGCTTGTGGTAGGTGGCAATCTCAATGTCCAGGACCAGCCTGATGTTCATGAGCTCCTGGTACTTGCGCAGCTGCCAGGCCACGTCCTGCTTGGCCTTCTGCAGGGCAGCCTCCAGCTGGGCCAGCTTGGCGCTAGCATCCTTAATAGCCATCTCCCCAGGCTGCCCGGCATCAGTGATGACAGCCTCCAGGGGTGCTCTCTGGCCTTTGAGGGCCTCAGTGTCTGCCTGCAGGCGGCTCATGCTGCAGTTCTGATGCTGCCCTCAGTGATCTCCAGCTTCATGCGGCGGAGGTCATCCCCGTGCTTGCCAGCTAGAGCCTGCAACTCTTCATACTTGATCTGGTACATGCTCTCGGCCTCAACCCAGCTGCGGCTGGC